ATACTCCAATATGTCATTTGTGCCAAAACAAAAATATGACTATGCAATATAAATATAACTATTTTCAATTAAAAAAGATAAAAGTTATTTTAACGCACCTTGAAATTTTATCCTCTTTTATTAAAAGTAAATTGAGATTTACATTCTTTCATAGAACTAAATTCATGTATAATTGAATCAATCCTAAATTTTTGAATATCTTCCACTTTTTATGTACATTGTTAGGCAATCATTCAAGAAATTATTTTTTATCTTGTTTGGAGGCTTGTTTTGATTATCTTCATAATTGAAAATGTCCATTCTATAGACTATAGAACGGAGCCAGGATTTTTTCATTGGGAAGGGGCCCAAAATTTTTTCAAACAAAATTACCTTAATATGTTATGTTTAAAATAATTTTCATTTATTTAAATATATAACATCTTAAATTATCAAATATTGATTTTAATTATAAAGGTATGTCTATTTCATAAATATGCAGCATAGTCATAACAAAAATTAGAACAAAAAATAACCTTTGATTAAATATCTTATAACATCCCAAACTATCCAAATTGTACATTATGAGAAGATGCGCCAATATGTCACTTGTGCAAAATAAAAAATATAACTATGCAATATACATATAACTATTTTCAATTAATAAAAGATAAAAGTTATGTTAGCATGCATTGAAATTTCAACCTCTTTTCTTAAAAGTAAATTGAGTTTTACGTTCTTTCATAGAACTAAATTCATCTATAATTGAATCAGTGCTAAATTTTTAAACAACTACCTTTTTGTATGTACATTGTCAGACAATCATTCAATAAATTATTTTTTATCTTGTTTTGGAACTTTGTTTTGATTATATTCATAATTGAAAATATCCGTTCTATAGTTGTAATTGACACAGGAAGAGTGAGAACAAATATAATCAATATATCAACAACAGGATAGATCACTCAATTTCTTGTCTTCACCAAACCTTAAAGTAATTATTTGTATACTTGTATATGGGTCAACAAGAGGATATATCACTAGTTTTAAATTTTTTATCAATTAGGCAAAGTTGTATATTTGTATATGGACCAATAAAGTAATTATTTTTGTTTTAGCCCATTGATAATTATGAATTGAGTCTTTTATTATAATATATCAAATTGGGTCAATTTACTTTGGATCATCAAATTATATGTTTAATTTTTTGAACATTAAATAATTAGCACAATAAAAAATAAATAACTGTTTTTGAAGAAAAAATTAAATCAAAGGTGGCTAATTTATACGCACATAGATATATATATATATATATATATATATATATAAACTCTCATAATATAAACTAAAATTGTAAAAAATTAGGGGGGGCAACTTTGTCTTATACATATATTTACATATTATGAATTAAATTTTCAAAACTTATTGCCCCCCTCAGCCCCCCTTGGCTCCATCATTGGGCAGTTTAATCTCCCAGAATATTTTATAAATTTTTGTGTCATTTCATTAAGCAAAAAAACAAGGGTGGAGTATATGGAGTTTTTATCGGAATGCCAATATCATTTGTCTAAAAAAAATCAACATCTGAATAATTTTAGTCGTCAATTAATCAAGGAAGGGTCATCTCATACGGAAATTGACAACCGTTCCTGCCAGTGGACGGCCATGATTTGGCCTCAAAATTTTGTGCGGCTCAGATCACGTCTTGTAACTCGATTTTCACGTCAAGTGTGGGGCCCACAAAAATTTATTCTAAAGTTACGTCGTGTGCAAAGAAAGTTACACAATGTGCAATTGATGTTACTCACAGTGCAAAATGCACACAACCTGCACAAACGGTTGCAGGTGCAACCATTTGTGCCCCTTGTACATCTCATACTACTACTTGCTCAGTTCTCAACTGCTAATCGCTGCCTAGCAGTTGGCACTAACTATCAAGACAGCGGAACCAATATATTAATACTACAATAAAACAATGAAGTCGGATTGTTGCACATGTTTAGATCCTATTTGATAATCCAATTCAACATTTAAATTTAATGGATTCAGATATTAACATATTCAAATGTATTTGATAACAAAAAATTGAATATTTGAATTAATTAAGTGATTCTGAATGTACCAGGCAAAACTTATTTCGAAATATAAGTGATAAACAATTCACTTATTACTAAATCTGATACACACTCAAATATATTAGATTTAATATTTAATAATTTAATAATTAATAAACTCAAATTTCAAATTTCAAATTTCAGCTTTTAAACTTCAGTTTATCAAACGTATCATTAGACTCTAGACTTCCATTTCCATAATTTTATTTTCTTTTCTGACCCTTGAAATTCAAATGGGGTGGTTGAGTTCGAAACATCAATTCACATGGCGGATAGTTTCGTGTATGCATAAAAATCATCTTGATTAATTAGTCGTCAATTATTTATTTTATTTTGGCCAGAATACTAACAATATGCATGTGACTACAACTCTACAGTAGGTAGAAAACGTTGTTGTAAGACGACTTTTTGCATCCTTAAATTTTGAAGATAATGGCTTCTGGTGGTGGTGGTGTGGCTTCTAGTTTGGATCGCCTTGATTCTGTTTTGGAAGGGTTGCGGCGTCGATCGGTCACTGCAGAGCAGGTCTACAAGGACTGGAGGGTTCTGAGGATTCTTTGGGAGTCCTGTCATAAGGGGACTGATGCAGGCCTCAAGATTGAAGCTGCAGCCGAGGAGATCGCCCATGACCTTAATCGTATTTCTGATGGAGAGAAGGAGGACAGCGAAGGTCCAGAATCACAGTTCCTTCTCCAATTAGCTCGTGATTGTGAAACAAAAACCAAGCGATTGATGGCTGATATTGGAGAAGCTCTTGACTATCTGTACTCGTCGTGCTCAACAGGAGGGAGCAGCATCAGCAGCTCACTCCAGTTACAGCTGATGTCTCCTGCAACTCTTGATGTTTCCTTCTGGCCAAGATTTGTCAGCCATGCACAATCAAACGTGCTCAGAATCAGTCAGATTGTGGTAGATCACTTGGGTCATGAACACTTTGGTATACGGGATCAAGTCTTTACCTTCTACAACAGTCTAAAGTCCATCAGGCGTTACTTTGGTCTATTACTAAGCGATCCCAAATTCCCATACCTGGGAGGGGCAGGAGTAGGAGCAGGGGCAGGAGCAACAATAGATGATGCAGTGCCTAGTATTGATGCCTCCCTCGGTCATGTGGTATCTTTGGTCCTTCGGATTGCAAATCGGTGTTCTGATCACTGGTTGGATAGCAAAACAGGCCGGATCCAATTGGAAAAAGGTGAGCTGAGTAAGTTCGTGGAGGATGTGCACCATGAGATTCATCCAAGAAATCCCAATTTCATGAGGTTCCATCTTAATTTCCTTTTGGCTCTCTGCTTCAGTAATAATAACGAGGATGAGAAGATGGATATTGTTATGCAATTCTGCAACTATCTCTTTAATTCTGAACGCGGTGATTTTCGAAAAGAGGTGACTTCCCTGGTTACTCTTTTTGTTGACGCTACTACTAAATTAAAGAACAATGACGCAGTGCAAAGTTTCTTTCCAGAAATCAATGCAATGCTCGTTGAGATGGCGTCGCTCTTTGAAGCGAATAGTCGCAAGGGGCATAAACTAAATGACTCTCCTCAGTGCTCTGAGTTACTTACAAGAATTTGTCTTCTCAGAGCAGAGCTTTCCCTCGTCGTGCAAATTCGTAATATGAGCAAAATTAGCAGCAATTTGTCGTCCTCCTCCAGTATGCTTTCAGATTGGAAAGATATCCCGAGAAATCTGAGCATATATTCCAAAAATTTACCCCTTGACAAGATTGAGGATGGGGAAAAGATGTTGGCATTCACTGAATCATTGTTTGAGGAAGTAGAATCTCTTCATCAGTCATTTAGGCACAAGAAAATCTCAGGTTCTATTGCGAAGAACTCACTTCTCCTACTTTTTTTTAAGATTGTGATTTTCAAGGAAGAGTTGTTTTTAATGGAGTTATTGTTGTTGAAGAGTGGTAATGAAGCAATTTCCATGGCTAGTGGGAAAGATCAAATTGCATTCCATCTTCAGAAGCTTGAGTACTTTCTACTAGTTCTCTCAGATGAGCGAATGAAGGATAGAGAAGACATGCTCAGAGCCTTCAACAAAATTGAAGTTTTTTTTAGGAGCTTGACATGTTCAGCTTACTCTTTTCTTATAGCACAAGATGAAATGGTCCTTTCGTTTTCTGATCTGTTAGATAAGGTGAATCAGTTGATGAAGGCAAAGCTTAATGAGATTATTCCCCCATTTCCACTGTTTGATTTCCCTGAGGGTTTCAAACTGAATTTCCTTGATTCCTTCGTAGAAAATCTTGGGGAGCTGCTGAAACATGATCCCGAGTCAATTGCATCAGCGAAGCTCCACATCTCAGAGATTCAAGTACATCTCAAGTCTCTGAGATCTTTTCTTGAGAGTGTTGCAGATTTGGAGACTGAGGAAGTCGAAGAGCTGAAAGATATTGGAAATCACATCATTGATTTGGTGTACAGAGCAGAGTATGTAATTGATTCAATCGAAATTGATGCTCAGTGGCAGGATTTCTTCTGGTTAAATGATGTATTGGAGGAGTTTAGACGTGTTAAAGAGAAGGCCTATGGAATTTATTTGACCATCTGTGATGCTAAAATCCAAGTCTCCAAAAATTTCACCCAAATTTCAGTCGACAGGCGTCTAATGAATATTCATCCTCCAGCAGTCCATGAATTTATGGTGGATCTCAGGGACCAAGAAGAATGCATAATCAGCCGACTTACCAGAGGATACCAGCACCTAGATGTTGTTTCTATCGTTGGAATGCCAGGTTTAGGCAAGACAACATTAGCAAGGAAAGTTTACAACACGCGACAAATCATGCATCACTTCCCTGTAAGAGCATGGTGCACTGTTTCCGAAGCATAGGAGAAAAGGAAATTAGTCTTTGAGATTTTAACGGGCATCCATGGACTTAAAGATGAGATTCCCCAAATGAGTGATGAAAGTCTTGAACTCGAATTGATTGGCTGCTTGCAGGAAAACAGGTATCTCATAGTCATGGATGACGTTTGGGATGTTAAAGCCTGGAAATACCTGAAAGATTTATTACCAGATGACGCCAATGGAAGCAGAATTCTATTAACATGTCGTCTTTTTGATGTGGCCTGGGCAATTAAACGACATAGTGATCCTCATCCTCTTCGTCTATTATCCGACGAGGAAAGTTGGATGTTATTAGAAAAGAAGGTATTCAATGACAACAATTGCCCCCAGGAACTTGTGGAAACGGGAAAGGAAATTGCTCGGCAATGTAAAGGATTTCCTATTGCAATTGTTGCATTAGCTGGTTTACTAAGAATGACAGAACTGAGCCGAGATTCTTGGACAAATGTAGCTGAAGCCTTAGTCTCACAGATAATAGATGACCCACAAACTAGGGCCTACAATGTCTTAGAGCTTAGCTACAATCACTTGCCGGAGAATCTAAAACCATGCTTTCTCTATTTGGGAGTTCTTCAAGAAGACAAAGATATTCTTGTTAGCAAATTAATACGGTTTTGGCTCGCAGAAGGGTTGATACCAAAAACTGAGGCAAAGAGCTTGGAAGACGTCGCAGAGGAATTCTTGATGGAGTTGATTAACAGAGGGTTGGTAATAATCTCCAAACGAAGATCCAATGGCAGGGTCAAAGCATGTCGCCCTCAACCTCTTATAATTGATTTGTGTATGGCAAAAATCAAAGAGGAGAACTTCTTTCAGCCATATGCTTCTTTTCCTAGTTCAGGTTATGGTTTTGAATTCGATTTTTTCCATCAAACGGGACCTTTGCAATTTGCATCCTATCGGCTGGCCGTGTATTCGAACCGAAATCATTTTGTCCAATCAAGACCATCAGGAGCGGGCACCCGTTCTTTGGTTTTCTTTGCTTCTAAAGATTCAGAACCAAGATGGCCTTATGATATCTCCTTCATTTTGCGCAACTTCAAATTACTTAAGGTGTTGGATTTCGAATGCATCAATATCGTTTCTTTTCCTGTTGAAATTTCGATGCTGATTCAATTGAGGTATTTAGCAATTGGGGGATATCTGACATCTATTCCGCAATCGATAGCCAACCTCAGGAAACTAGAAACTCTTGTTGTGAAGGGATTGCGTGGTAAGATCGTCTTGCCAAATACTATTTGGCGCATGACAAGTTTAAGGCATCTTCATGTGAGTATTCATGTTACTTTGGATTCGGATGATGAAGAAGAGCTTGAAGATTGCTTCGTGTTAGAAAATTTGGTCAGCTTTTCCCGCCTATCTCTTCCTTGTGGTGGGGATTCAGAATGGACAATGAAGAGGCTTCCAAATCTTCGCAAACTGAGTTGCATAATTTTTCAGAGACAGGATTCTTCTGCTAATCATAATCAATTTCCAAGTTTGAATCTTCTCTGTCATTTGGAGTCACTCAAGATATTTTACTATGGATATCATCTTAACAATGGCGAGTTCAATCTCCCATTGACTCTAAAGCAATTGACTCTGTCAAACTTTCACCTACCATGGAGTTGTATCTCTGCAATTGGTAGACTGCCAAACCTGGAAGTTCTGAAGTTGCGATCTGAAGCCTTTGTGGGGAGAACATGGGACATGGTGGAAGAAGAGTTCCTGAACCTTAGATTCTTGAGCTTAGACACTCTGGACATTGTCCAATGGAATGCCTCTTGTGACCACCTCCCTAGACTCGAAACACTTGTCTTACAAAATTGCAGAGAGCTCCGGAAAATTCCACCTGATTTTGCAGACATATCTACACTGGAAATTATTGAAGTGAATTGGTGTGGAGTATTTGTAGAAATATCGGCCAGGCATATTAGGGAAGCAACAGGAGATGTTAAAGTCGTTATAAGGAGTTTATATTGGAGACCATGATCAGCATGATTTGGATAAAACCTCTTTATACTTCCTCTGATCACTTGTGAGTCTATTATATGATTTTTCAGCAACCTATCCATTTTCTCCATTCATTTGTGAGATGAAATTCCTGTCATTTCTATTTACTTGAGTACATATACTAGCTGAAAAATATTGATAACCACTTTAATTTTAACTTCTTATCTAACGTTTAGGCTTGAGAAATCACGTTTGATTCTTGTCTTCTAAGACCATTTTTCTTGCCCTTTCCCAGGTCTGTAACTGGCAAGGCTCAATTGAAACTTGAGAGGCACTGTTCACCACAAGCAAGAACTTTTGGCCAAGCTTTGCCTTACATTGGAGCTTTCCCATTTGATGCTCAGTATTGTGCTTTTGATCTTTGGAACGAATGCGGCAATGTGACTGATTTTGATTACCTGCTTTTTTTCCCCCTGCTTTTTATCATACAGTGGGTTGTTTAGAAAGACCAAGCTTGTAGATGTGTTCTGAGAATGTTTGTTTGATGAAATTGAATTACAGTTGTCTTTCATCATCAAGGACTTTCCTTTTTCAATTTATTTTTTGTAATTATACTCACACACACATATATTTGATCTTGGCTGTAGGGACCATTTTGTTGATTCAATGCAATTTATGCTAGGTTTGGAGGATTTATTTGATTGGGTATTACTTAGGGTAAATTGATTGGATATTATTTCTAGTAAATATCCTTTTATCCCCTGTAGTTTAGTACTTTATCACGTAACCCCTTATTGTTGAACATCCTATATATAACCTTCTCATGATTTGGGTTAAAATATCATCGTTAAAATTAACGATCAATAATTAAAAATCAAAGTCAAATTAATAAATTGACAAATTCATTTTTTCACTACTTGTTTGCTTTTATTCTTTTGTTTCTCTCTCATTTTTTTTGGGAAGAGAAGAGTTGATTTTAAAAACCTATATTTTGGCCTATATAAACTTAATTTTCTCCAAATACAAAAAAGATGGAAAGGAAATGAAGAAATAAAAAGATGGAAGGGAAATATAAAACAAATAAATAAGAAACAAAAAAAATGAAATCTTTTTTAACTACAAATTTCATTATAGATGTTTAAACCAAATCTTTAGTGATATTCTCTAGTTCTTATTTATATATATTTTTTATTTTAATTTCTTCTTTTTTATATTTGGAGGAAAAAAAAGGTTAATGAAAGGATAACTTTGTCAATTTATTAATTTGACTTTGACTCTCTACTATTGATAGACCATTAGTTTTAATGAAAAAATTGACAGTGACACCTTAATCCAAACCATGAGGGGTTATATATAGGTTTTTAAACCATTGGGGAGTTTTATGATAAATCACCAAATCACAGGGGGTAAAAGATAATTTACCCTATTATTTATTGAGCCTAATGGCTATAAAAGTTGAATGTGCCAACCTACCCAATATATTTTAGCAAAACTCAAGCATGATTATTGAATTGTCTTAAGAATTAGCTTTTTGTAATTCTGGTAAAAAATAAATATTACTATGATATTAAAGTATCAACACGAACAAATATAACATTTGAAGTGCACTTAGATTACATAGATTCATTGTCTGCCAAAAAAGAAAACTTTTTTCTTGAATAAAAAATTTGATACAATGATTCTCAAATTTTGATAATCTAAATACAGGTAGATAGTAATCAACATAATAAGAAAGTTAGGGGGATGTTCTTGTCACCTTCCTATTAGACCATTAACAAACCATCAATGCCTCAATATGAAAGTTTCAGGGTTCTTAAATTCATTGTTCATATATCAAAACAAAAAAAAAAAAAAAATGCGAGCAGAAATGCGCGTAATAAAACGTTTCGACTCTAACCATTGCATGGAAATGGGGTAATTTGTGAAAGAAAAAACGTGTTTAACAAACGACCGACTTCGACGAATGTTATGAAATAAAAGAATTTGTAGAACGTTTCTACAAATGGAGGTTGTTAGTTATTTAATAAGCACTTCAAGGCTTATGGAGGTTTCCTGCATTGCTTTACAATAACTTACATAAAGTAAATATGTCAAAGAATAAATGTTTAGCCCACAAAATACGACCTAGAGAATGCAGATTATATGCCATTATTAAGGCTTATGTGTGTGAGAGAAAGAACTAGCACTTTAAGGATTATGCAGGTTTTTCGGATTTCTTTACAAGATTAATTTTATATGCACTGTCAATGTATATATGACACATGTGTAAAATTAAAATTGAAATTCAATTTACCAAGAGTTTACTGTTCAGGAGGACTGAGGATTTGTAACGAGGGACAGCACAAAGAAATGCTTTTGTTCTGCACAAGTTTGCAGAGATGAAGAAATTCTGATGCTCAGAGAGTAATGAAGTTCCAAAGACCTGTGTGCTTTTTAGTGATTATCAAAGGTAAATGAAGTATGTAAAACTTTAGTTAGTGTAAACATATTCAATAGATCTGCAGTCAACTTTTCCATGCCTTGCCTATAATAAACTCTCAGTGGTTCGTTATTATTTGTTTCAAGTAGTAACCATACATTGTGACAAAAGTGTTTGTTTCAAATTTACTGGATCAAGGGCCATGGTTAGTTAAAATTGGAAAAATATTGTTGTGCTGTATATGCAAGTGCACAAATTTTAATTGTCTGTCAACTATATAGAACATAAACTCATCATGGTAGCCAATAGAACTTGATTGTGTACTAAGTGATGCTTCTTGACACAAATTCATGGTACCAAAATACTGCATCTTCCACTACATTCACCTTGTGTTCATGTGATCAGGCCCCAAACTGAATATTTGTGCATTGACTGGCACTGAAAGTAAAATTGAGCAGACCTTGACACCAATTTGTCTCTATGTATTGTCCGAATAGAAATGAATCTGACCAGCTGGTCGGAAAACACCAGTGAACAGCAATAAACAGAAGCAACCAATCTTCTCAGCTCATGCGTTTAAGTTCAAAACTGTGAAGTTGCATTAGTGTGAAGATTATATAATCAAGTTCACACCAATCAAGGGTCATTTCCTTCTATCAGGTCAATTCTACACTAAGCAAGGATTATTTTTTGATATCATAAATTAATGTATTTAGAAAGAGAGGAAAAAGTAGAGAAAGAGAAGAAGAGAAACATCATCTGGAGTAATTAACAATAAATCAAGGAGAAAAAATAGCACAAAAGTGGGAATTTTGCTTCTACCACAGTAGATAACAGTAATTTATTAGAGTCCTCAGCTAAATTTTTGCTACTAGTGATCTGGATTCTGCCCATTTCAAGTTTCATTCTTCTGGCTTCAGCTCAAAGATTTTCTATGATTTCCAGAAGCACTTTCTTAGAACTCCCACCAACTTCATAGGCCTTCCTAGCTTCTTCTTTCACCTTCTTTGCCTTTATCCTCAGTGTTTTATCCTGCATCAACTGGACAATTTGATCCCCAATCTCCTCTCCCTTCACTAGATTCTCCCCCAGCCAACCCCAATGCCTCATCCACACTCCAAGGCCTGCCTTCTCTGTCACTTCTGCGTTCAACTTTTGGTCTCCATGTAGAGGCCAAGCCAATAGAGGCAGCCCGAATCGAGCTGCTTCAGTTACAGAATTCCACCCACAATGGCTTACAAATCCTCCGATTGCTGGATGCGCTAAAACTTGCTCTTGCTCCACCCATCCTTTACAAACTAGCCCCTTCTTCTTTGTTCTTTCAAGAAATGAACTGCCAAGCAAATCTTGCAGATCTTCCGTCTCGTCTTTGTCAACTTTTGTAGTCTTTATTACCCAAAGAAATCTGCATCCACTTCTCTCCAGTCCATTTCCTAGTTCTCTTATTTGTTCCTTTGACAATGCTGTTCTGCTTCCAAAGCCAACATAGACTACAGACTCATTTGGTTGGCCATCTAGCCACTGCAGATAAGAGCCAGCTTTCACGACAGCCTTACAAGGCTCGAATGGTCCTATGGGGAGGGAAGGCGGTAAATGAGCCAGCACCCTGCCAGTATTTACTGCAGCAATTGTTTCAGACTCAAGCCAATCAAAGCTATTAAGTAGAATACCCTTGGCTTTCGAGAGAAATTGAGCATTTAAACGGATGTGGGCTGTGAAAATATGATCTGGAGTAAAGAAGGGAGGAGGAAGGCTTGAAATTGGCACCGAAGCTAAACCCGGAAGCTGAATGCTAGAGTCTTCCGAACTTTTGCTTTCGAGTATCAAGTCAGGAAGACAAGCGATAAGCGAAAAAAATCTAGCTGAAGAGGTGGATACAATGTAAAGGGGGATAGATAATTCATCAGCTAGACGATTGATATCGGCTGCAACAACAAAGTCAGCGAAGATGGCTGATAGAGGCGGAGTAGATAAGGAAGCCAAGAGAGGATGCAGGAGATGAACTGAGCTACTAACAGCTCGAAATCGAGCAAAGAAAGGATCAGGTTTTTCCGCGTCTGCAAATTCGGATGGACTGCTGGGAATTAGGATATGAAAATCAAGCCGATTGATTTGAGGGTGGGAAGCAAAGAAGGCAGACAATTCGTTGGACTCTGCAGCAGAAACTGGAGGCTGAACAGCAATCAAGGTAACTCTGCATTGGCAATTAGGAGAAGCAAGCATGGCGGCCAATCTCAGAAATGGGACCAAGTGGCCTATTCCTGCACTAGGAAACAGAGCTACATGAGCAACTGCTCTCTTCTGGGAATCACCAATTCTTGACATTGACATTGTTTGATGAACTGATGATGCTGTATCTAGTCTACTTTGTTTTGGTGTATAGGTCTTCTATCCTCTGCTACCATCTTTAAATAGAGTAATATAATATCTTTTCTTATGAAAATATTTTATAATTACTAGAAACAAAAGAATCTCATATGGATTAACAATCTAATATGAACGTCAATACTCTATTGTCTCATTGTTGTTTTTTTTTCAAGAATAAATCATCCATTTTGACAAAAACAATTTTCTTGTGAGTAATATTAAATTCATTGGATGAGAAGCCTAACTCTTCATTTATTTATGATTAGGTAGGTTGCTTCTACAGTGGAAAGTTGGTTGGTTGCTTCTACGGTGGAAAGTTGGATGAACTTCCCACTGAACGCAGAACCATTACTATCACAATAACTCAGTATGGGCATTGTCCAAGCCTTATGGTCCAACTAACTTAAAGGCAACCAGCAGGTAGCAGTAACCAATGCTCTGTTTGAATGGGAGTGTTTTTCAAAAGATAGTCTTTCTAAAGGACTAAACAGTCAATATAGGTATAACTAACTTTAAGGCAGGTTGCTTCTAACTAACTTATAGGTATACTCTTCATTTATTTATGATTAGGTAGGTTGCTTCTACGGTGGAAAGTTGGATGAACTTCCCACTGAACGCAGAACCACTACTATCACAATAACTCAGTACGGGCATTGTCCAAGCCTTATGGTCCAACTAACTTAAAGGCAACCAGCAGGTAGCGGCAAGTGAACTGTTTGGATTAGTTATTTTTTGGGGTATTTTTGAAAAAATTTATTGTAGCAGAGTTTTTAGATTATATTTTGGGATATTTTTAGAAAATATTTTGAAATATTTAAGAGTAGAAGAGTTTCTAGAATATATTTTGAGATATTTTTTAAAAATTTTAAAAAAATTTAAAAAGACTAAACAGTCCCAAAAACAGTCAATATTTCATAGATTGAGTTGATAGATTGAATATAGGTATACATTAGATTGAGTTGATAGATTGAATCATGCAATTTAAATTAACCGTTTGTGATCATTATCACTATCATTATTATTATTTTTCTAGTATAGATAGTATAAAAAAGATTTAATCTTTTCTTTATTGAAAGTGGGTATGCTAGTCTCAGGAATGCACGTCACAAGTATTCTTTTCAAGTTAAAATTAATTTTGAATTATTTGTTACACTTGTGCACTGTTAGTCAAACTTATTTTTTCGTGGAGTTTTGAGTTGATGGATTCAAATGACTCATTTAAATCTAAATGCATATTGAAACTAAACTATTCATGGGGGTTAAGTGGAAATAAATCCTATGTACACTGACAATTTATATATTGTCACTATTGGATCTATAACATATGTATAAAATTTAGATTTTAAATTTAAATTTTACATAGTTGTCATTCATTCAAAATTGACAATATATAGAATATTAATCCTTTAGTGAATCAACTAACTTTCTTTTACTTTTTTGTCCTTCTCCTTCTTTCTCCTTATTCCGAAAATTCACGCAAACTTTTTAATTGTTGCCTGCCTGATTCTCATGTTAATACCTAAATCTTTTTTAACTCCAGTAATATTTCATTAGTTTATACTTGTCACAATCATCATTTGTGTCATGGTACAAAATTTTCTTTGGTTGTTTCCTTTTTCTTTTTATTTGGATAAACAATTTATTTACTAACGTAATACGTTTTAATTTTTATTACAATAAAATATTATTACTTATGCTTAAACAATAAGCGGGGACTTCAACCCTTAAACGTGGCTATGCCAAAGTCTATTTCGAATTACGTATTTGTTCACCATACTAACATTTACAGCTTTCATTAGTTGCCATATAATGTAATCACATCTAAATTTCTAATTCTTCTATTTATCTTTACACTCCACTTAACTAGCTTATTCTTCTACGATACTTATGAGTCGTTATTTTTTTGCATTTCAAGTACAAAATTGCAACACTATATTTGAAAAGTCCACTGAGGGTGGTCACCTCGGCAGTACCTTGTTGCCGAGGTGATCTCGTTTCGTCTCCTACACGAGCAAGGCCATTCCCCGATCCAGACCCCGAGCTCGGATCGGCCCATGGTCTCCTACTCGGATGACCTCTGCACCCCTGGCTACCATTTCGGCTAGACGCTGATGACGTCAACATCCCTGACACCACCCAGGACCAATGCTTTATCTGAAAAGCACTGGGTGATCTTAACGACTACTGTGCAGGACCCCCGTCATCCAGCCCAGGCGGCTACAGTGTCAGAGTCAGGCCTCCTGGCAAGAGACGGAGCCGTAATGTCAGGAGATGGGTCCCACCAGCATGAACCCCCCGTCCTGACCTCCACTCCCACTCTATAAATACCCCACACACTCCCAACAAGTAAGCACACTGTTCATTCTCATATACTACGATTTCTCTCGTTCCCATACTAACTTGACCGTCGGAGTGACACCAGGGGAGAAGCCCCGCCATTCACTTCGGACACGAGGATACACCTCACTTTATCTCAGATGAGTCTGTTTCTGGTCGGTTCAACTACCCACCAAAAATCACCCCCTCAATTGGCGCCGTCTGTGGGAACGAGATTACTGCTAAAATGAGATCCACGCGCTCCAGAAGCGGAAGAGTTCCCTCAACTGGGGCTGGGCAGACATCCGGAGCCCAGCAAGATCGTATCTCTGAGGAACATGGGTCCCCAAGGACCCAGCCCCACAATGAAGACGCCATCGCTAAGATGGCCGAATTCGTGGCTGACAACCCGAACATTTTCGAAGAACTGGGGAGGTACTTCAAGAGGCAGGGGAAGGAAAAAGCTGAATCCTCCAAGAGGAGACCGACGAAGTCCCCTGAAGTGCCTTCCGGCGAAGACTCCGATGAGGGGCACCTCTCTCGGAGCACTTCCAGGCGCGCCTCCTTTAAAGCGACATCCAAAATCGCTTCCATCTCCCGGGCATTTTCCCGGGGCCTCCTGGGAAAACGAGCTGAGGACCCACCTCGGCGTCCCGGAGGCTTAGCAGCCGAATACCTGAGGGTTCCGCCCTTCACAGATGACATCAATGGGGAGATGGTCCCCCAGAACTTCAAACTTCCCGCCCTACGTTCTTACGATGGCCGAGGTGACCCCGAGGATCACCTCCGCGCCTTCCTCTCCGCTTTTCGGCTCTATTGCGTCCCCGACGCAGTAATTTGCCGAGCTTTCCCCATCTTCCTACAGGGCACAGCCCGAAAGTGGTTTTGGGGTTTAGAACCGAGGAGCATATCCTCACTAGATGAGTTGATAGATCGGTTCATTCACCACTTTGTGTCATCTCGTCCCATCACGAAGACTTCAGCCTACCTCTTGAACCTGCAACAAGCCCCCGGCGAGTCACTGCGCTCCTACGCGCAAAGGTTCAATGAGGAGAACGTGCAGATACCTGATCAGCATGAGCAGGTAACCATCGCTGCCTTCACCAATGGGCTGATTGCGGGAATCTTCAATACGGAGATACACCGGGATTACCCCCGCACACTTCGGGAACTCTGGGATCGAGTAGATCAGGGAATCCGGAGTGAAGACCTAAACCGCATGAAGCGAGAGGCTCAAGCTGCTCGTACCGGGCAAGATTCCCGGAGGAAAAAAGACGCCGGCCGAGTCAAACAAGGCCCCAGTGGCTCGTCGACTCAGTTCCGCGACCGCCGGAGTGTCTTCGACCGGATAGTAAAAGGCAGGTCGTCCACCTCGGACGCCGAGATGACGCCTCTCAATTCCAGCCGGACCCATGTCCTGGCCGTGATGAGGCAGAATCACCTCGACCGAAATCCTCCTGAAATTCCAGGGAGGAGGGATAAGAGGAACTCGAACCTCTATTGTGCCTACCACCGGGATGTTGGGCACGAAACTGAAGACTGCAATGATCTGAAGCGAGAGATCGAGAGTTTGATCAGACAAGGATACCTGAAGCAATTCGTCCGCAAGGATGGAGGCTTCAACCGAAGCGTCTCCCACCGGGAGAACCGGGGCCCCCGCCGAGAGGACAGGCGGGACACGAACATGCATTGCCAAGGTCCCGAGGATCGTAGGGAGGACAAGCAGCCTCCACGCGACGGATCACCGGGTTACGGCCCCAACATCGCCGGAGTGATCAACACGATCGCGGGTGGACCAACGGGAGGAGACAGCCAGAACTCCCGAAAGCGGACCTTCCGCCAGGCCGGGATGGAGGTGGCCGAGCCGAGCTCTCGGTTGTCCGAGGTCATCACCTATGGTCCTACTGACCCCGTCCCCGCCGCTTCCAGCAACCACGAAGCCCTCGTGATCGAGGTCCTCACCAACAACTACATAGTCAAAAAGGTCTATGTGGACCCCGGAAGCTCGGTAGACGTATTGTACTACCGAACCTTCGAAAGTTTGAAACTGACCAGGGAGCAGCTCACTCCGGTCAGGACCCCCCTCGTTGGATTTGGGGGACACGTGGTCCACCCCGAGGGTATGGTGTCCCTGATGGTGACCATCGGGCGTCACCCCCGCTACCGGACTATACCCGTCAACTTCGCGGTTGTCAAGGCGGATTCTCCCTATAATATGTTGATAGGGCGACCCACACTCAACGCTTTGAGAGCCGTATACTGCATCTACCACTTGAGCTTTAAATTCCCGACATCTGAGGGTGTGGCCGAGGTGAGCAGCGATGTGGGCACCGCCCGAGAATGCTACCTCGCCACCATTCAAGCAGCAGTCACGCCCCGGCCCTCGCCGAGGTCAGAAGAGAAGAGGCTGGCGGTCCTCTCCATAGACTGCATCGACCCTCAGAAGGCAGGAGAGCCCAGCAGGCTTGAGCCCGGGGATGAGGTGGAAATAGTGGTCTTGGATGAAGCGAAACCTGACCAAGTGGTCCAAGTAGGGGCCGGACTCCCCTCACCCCTGAAAGAAGAAATGATCTCCCTGATCAAGGACCACCGAGACGTCTTCGCGTGGTCTGCAGATGAAGTGGTCGGAGTGCCACCCGAGCTCATGACTCACTAACTCAACGTTAACCCACAGGCCCGACCTGTGCGATAGAAACGAAGGCACTTCGGCCCCGAACGTAGCAAGGCCATATCTGATGAGGTCGACAAACTCTTGCCGGCCAAGATGATCCACGAGGTCCAATATCCCACCTGGCTGTCCAACCCAGTCATGGTCAAAAAGGACACCGGTGGATGGAGAATGTGTGTAGACTTCACCGACCTCAACAAGGCCTGCCCCAAAGATTGTTATCCTCTGCCGAGGATAGACGCCCTCGTCGACTCGGCGATGGGGTATGTAGTCCTCTGCTTCCTAGATGCCTTCAAAGGCTACCACCAGATAGGAATGAGTGAGGAGGACCAAGAGAAGACAGCATTCTACACCGACCACGGTGTCTACTGCTATTCTACCATGCCCTTCGGCTTAAAAAACGCTGGGGCAACCTATCAAAGGTTGATCAACCGCCTCTTCAAAAATCAAATCGGCCGAAATGTGGAAGCCTATGTGGATGACATCCTCGTCAAAAGTCTCGCCACTTCATCCTTCCTGTCAGATGTGAGGGAAGTCTTTGGTGTCCTGCGAGACTCGAGGATGAAGCTGAATCCCAAGAAGTGCGTCTTCGACGTCACCTCAGGAAAGTTCTTGGGGTATCTGGTTTCCCACCGGGGAATCGAGGCCAACCCCGACAAGGTCACGGCCATTCAGGACATGTCCCCACCTCGGAACCTCTGGGAAGTCCAACGGCTGAATGGACGCCTGGCCGCGCTGAATCGCTTCCTGTCCCAATCAGCTGAGAAAGCTCTGCCCTTCTTCAAGGTGCTCAAGAAGGCCGATCAGTTCGCCTGGACTGAGGAGTGCCAGGCTGCCTTCGACAAACTGAAGCAGTACCTGCACCACCTACCCACCCTCGCTTCACCTCGGCCCGAGTAGAAGCTCTACCTCTACCTCTCCGCAGCGGATGAGGCTGTCAGCGCCGTGCTCATCCGGGATGAGGGCACTCAAGTGCCAGTCTACTATGTTAGCCGAGCTCTCCGTGGGCCGGAGACTCGATACACTCAAGTGGAGAAACTTGTGCTAGGACTAGTCCACGCCGCCCGGCGACTAAAACCCTACTTCCTAGCTCATCCCATCTCCGTCAGGACCGACCAGCCTCTACGACAGATATTGGTGCGGCCCGAGGCCTCCGGACGCCTCACTAAGTGGGCCGTTGAGTTGGGGGAGTACGACTTGTCATATGAGCCGCGCACCGCCATAAAAGCTCAAGCCTTAGCCGACTTCTTGGCCGAGCTCACCTTCACGGAAGGTCGAGAGTCCACCTCCGCCATTGCCGAAGTGTCCTCCTCACACTTATGGACGTTGTATGTGGACGGATCCTCTAATGGAGATGGCAGCGGAGCAGGACTGCTCCTGGAGGGCCCCCAAGGAGAAGTGTGCTCGTACGCCCTACGCTTTGGCTTCTCGGCCACCAACAATGAGGCCGAGTATGAGGCCTTGATCGCGGGGCTCCAACTAGCCCGCAGGCTCGGTGCGCAGCGGATCCACGTCCGCAGCGACTCCCAACTCGTAGTCTGCCAAGTCCTTGGTGAGTATGAGGCCAAGGACGAAACCATGCAACGATATCTATCCAAAGTCCACCAACTCATCGCATACTTCGAATCTTTCGAAGTCCAAAGAATCCCCCGCTCCCAGAATAGGCGGGCCGACGCCCTATCCCGGTTGGCATCCACCTCATTCTCTGACCTCAACAAGACCGTTTTGGTAGAAGTGTTGAGCGAGCCGGCGTACCTGGAAGAGGTGGCCTGCCCCGTGAACACGGGAGAAACATGGATGAGCCCGTTCATCCTTTTCTTAGGGCAGGGAGTCCTCCCTGAGGACCGAGCCGAGGCGAGAAAGATACAGCGCAAAGTAGCCCGGTACGCCCTCCGCGATGGAGAACTGTATAAACGATCATACCTTGGCCCATGGCTGAAGTGCGTTACACCCGAGGCAGGACGCCAGATCCTTCATGAAATACACGAAGGCCTATGCGGGGCTCACGTCGGCCATAGGGTGTTAGCCAGGAAAACCTTACTTCTAGGGTATTTCTGGCCCTCGGTTCGACAAGATGCCCAAAATCTCGTTCTCAGCTGCCCATCCTGCCAAGTCCACGCACCCGAACTTCACCAACCTTCGAACCTCATGGTTCCAATCACCTCACCCTGGCCGTTTGAACAATGGGGGACAGACATCATAGGTCCTTTCCCCAAAGCAGTCGGGGGTTATACCTTCCTGGTAACCGCGGTGGATTATTTCACCAAGTGGGTTGAGGCCGAACCGCTAAGAAACATCACAGGACTAGCAGTCCAAAGATTCTTCTGGAAATGCATCATTTGCCGCTTCGGCATACCTCAGATCATCATCTCGGACAATGGGAGACAGTTTGCTGAGAACCCCTTCAAGACATGGTGCGAGAACCTCGGCATCAAACAACACTTCACTTGGGTCGGCCACCCCCAGGCCAATGGTCAGGCAGAAAATTTTAACCGAACTCTCTTGCATGGCCTCAAGACCCGACTACACCGAGCCGGATCATCTTGGGTAGAAGAACTCCCCAGTGTCCTGTGGTCATATCGGACCACGCCGAGGTCGTCCACGCAAGAGACCCCCTTCTCTTTGACCTATGGGGCCGAGGCTGTCATCCCTACTGAGATCCTTACACCCAGTCCTCGGCTAACAGCCTATGTAACCGAGGTGAATGGAGAAGAGAGGCAGTTAGATCTCGACCTCATCGACGAGAGAAGGGACACTGCCTCAGCTCGGGTGGCAACCTACAAGAACACCCTGGCCCACTACTACAATGCCCGCGTCAAGCATCGGCGATTCCGGCCAGGAGACTTGGTGCTTAGAAAAAAATCGGTTAGCCGAGCTGAGCCGCAAGGCAAATTGGGCCCGAAATGGGAAGGCCCTTACCGAGTTGTGAATTAAGTTATCGAGATGACTCTCTAGTGCCGAGAACTTGGCACGCCGAGAATCTCAGGCTGTATTATGTTTGAAAATTTTACAAAGTTATCACTTCAGCTGTTTAGTTATTTTTCATTACCAAGATGCTACGCATTCGTTATTCAAAAATAAGGGGGACAAATAGGGGACGAAGCAAGAAATCAAAGGAGCCGAAGTGAGAAGAAGTAAATCTTTCATTCAAATAAGAAAAAGGCATTACAAGAAGTAGTACAAAAGACCGAGGTCAGGAGTATTGCTAATAACCTCCCACCTCGGATTTACAAATAAAGGCCTATGATCTAAGTCTCTGTCTCGGCTTCTTCTTGGCCAGTTGCCTTCTCGGCTTCTTCCCCGCCGGGGTGAGCATCTTCTCCTCCTCCTTGAATGTCGGCACCCTCCTCGCCGACGTCGCCCCCAGCTTCTTCTCCTCCTTCCTCCTCGAAGACCTCGTCGAGCTCAGCTAGCCATTTGTTGAACTCATCTTGGACTTCGGCCAGGTTCCTCCCGGCTTGGATACCCTCGGCCATCCGGTCACACAACTCTTTGGAGTCCTCGTTATAACTGGCATTGTTCCTCAAGGACTCCAAGGCCTCGGAGGGTAGATAAGCTGCGGCCTCATCAATAGCCGACGTGAAGCCAAGCATGAAGCTCGGCCTTGACAGTTGGCCGAGGTCCCCTATGAAAGTCTCAGACCTCCGGAAGTCTTCTACAGCCGAAGTTCTCGCACTCTCGAGAGCCTGCTCGTGGGTCTTCTTCGCCACCTCTGACCTCTTCTGCTCTTCTTCCAGAGCCGACCTCAGGCTGTTTGCAGTGGCCTCGGCCTCCTCCTCCTTAGCCTCGGCTTCTTGGAGGCGTCTTTGAAGCTCGGACTTCTCGGATTCAGACACCACCAGCTTTTTCTTCAACTTCGCAACTTGATCTTACAGCTTGCCGGTGTCCTGTTCCTCAAGCAACTCACAATACCGATGTGCCATCTCGGCCACAAAGGCTGTGTTGGAGGCCGTAGTCACCATAACGCTCTGGAGCATCTCGGCCGGAGTCAGCTTTCTTGTGAAGTCCAGGTCTCTCGGCAAAGTGGACTGCATCACTAAGTCTTGTGCAACCCGAGGCTGGCTGCATCGGTCGTTGACCTTGAGCGACCAGTCCGGACACCAATGCCCGCCGGGGTGAGATTTGTCTTCCCCAGAAAACACTGGGGGGCATTGGTAACGGTTCCAGAGCGAAGACGCCGTAACCGCATTGACTGGAGCCTTCAACTTCTTGCCTCGGCTAGGTGGAGGTGGAAGTGCCGTGGTCACCCCCAGTGACACCCCTTCTGGCACCGAAGAGGCGGACCCTATGGCCGCAGCAGTCGAGCTGCTCTGGGCTGCCGTGGTGGGGGTGGTCATCTCCACCGAAGTCTTAGGGGACTGCCCTTGCGATTTCTTCTTGGGCGGAGGCGCCGATGTCTCGCCTGAGCTCTTTCTTTTCGACCTCTTTGCCACCTCGGCACCTGAGCTCGACGTGATGATGTCGGACAATTTGGTCACTGCACAAAGGACAAATATTATCATTTGCTATAGGCGAAGTGAAAACAAAGTTATGAAAGAAAATTACAAGGTATCTTAAGTTTTGTGGAAATGAGGGGAGTTCTGTCAGGAGGGATCACAGCTCGGCTAATTCCCCCATCGACCAGCACGGCCTCGGGGTGATCCCAGCTGAAGATCCGAAGTCCGGACCCCATCAATTTCTGAAAGGACTCCTCCTCGCGATCCCCCGCAGAAGGGTCGGCCTCCGATTTGATGGGTCTCCACCAAAAACCCCGGGGGAAGTCCACGGCCGAGACGAATATGAAGTCACGCTTCCAGTCCTTTATCGAAGAGGGGGCGCCGATGACTAGCTTCGGGATGGTTTTGTTCCGGTTGCAGACATAGAACCATCCCTTATCTGTCCCATGCGCCTTGAAGGTGTAACATCGGCGGAAGAGGTCCACGGTCGGGGTCACCTCTTGATGTCGGCAAAGCATCTCGAAGCCTACGAGAATGCGGACCGCGTTTGGGACGAGCTGGGTGATTCTTAAGCCGAAGTGACGGAGCACGTCCCGGAGGAATCTTGACGTCGGCATCCTCAGCCCGGCCTCCAACTGTTGAAGGTAGATGGCCACCGTGCCCATGGGGGGCTTCTCGGCCGAATCGTCCGGCCCGGGCGATGTCATGAGATACCCCGGCCTGAAGGGATACTTCCTTATCACCTTCCAGGCCCTATCTCTCCCCACGCGGCTCCTGAACGGCATCTTGCCGAAGTCCAGGTTGGCAACATCTCTTGGAGCGACGGGCTCCGGCACCCCCTCGTCGTGGGGTATTGCGGTTCCGAGCTCGGTGTCGTATTCGACATCGGAACCGCCCTCGCTCATTTCTGAGGACTCTGACCCCGGTGCGGTCCCTGCCACTTCTTCCTCGGCCGATTCCTCCACATCGGTAGGTGCTGACCCCGTTGAACTGGATGAAGTCGAATCTTCCGAAGTGTCCGGCACCTCCTCGGCCTGGTAGCTCGGTTTCACAGTTTCCTTGTGGGTTTTAGCCGTTTTGGCCATGAGTGAATGATGAGATGAAGAGAAAGATACTTACTGTTGACTACGGAATCTGACGAAGTGGATGACTTCGGTTGATATCTCGGCTGGCAGGACTGACCTCGGCGACGCTCAAGAATTTTACAAGTCTGAGATTGAGAAAGAAAGTGATGGGCCATATGGTGAAAAGGACCCCCTATTTATAGGGAGTCTGGGGGAATCCGAAGAGGCGGCAAGAATGCGAAAAGGCTACCACGTTCGAATTCAAAAGGACGTGCCCCCCTCACTCCTCATTAATGACTCATCCTTTCAACTGACACTCTCTCTCTTCACGAAACGTCCTACTACCTCACGACGCGACGGTTACCAGTGACCACGTCCTGTCAACTGACTTGCCCACGTGTCCCGTCCCCGCATCTTCCGGAGCGGTTTCGGAGCCCCGACTCTTCATGACTTCGGCACAAGGAATCCTCGGTACCTCCCTAGCTCGGAGCTCCCGAGGCTTGGGGGGCTTATTGAGGGTGGTCACCTCGGCAGTACCTTGTTGCCGAGGTGATCTCGTTTCGTCTCCTACACGAGCAAGGCCATTCCCCGATCCAGACCCCGAGTTCGGATCGGCCCATGGTCTCCTACTCGGATGACCTCTGCACCCCTGGCTACCACTTCGGCTAGACGCTGATGACGTCAACATCCCTGACACCACCCAGGACCAATGCTTTATCTGAAAAGCACTGGGTGATCTTAACGACTACTGTGCAGGACCCCCGTCATCCAGCCCAGGCGGCTACAGTGTCAAAGTCAGGCCTCCTGGCAAGAGACAGAGCCGTAATGTCAGGAGATGGGTCCCACCAGCATGAACCCCCCGTCCTGACCTCCACTCCCACTCTATAAATACCCCACACACTCCCAACAAGTAAGCACACTGTTCATTCTCATATACTACGATTTCTCTCGTTCCCATACTAACTTGACCGTCGGAGTGACACCAGGGGAGAAGCCCCGCCATTCACTTCGGACACGAGGATACACCTCACTTTATCTCAGAGGAGTCTGTTTCTGGTCGGTTCAACTACCCACCAAAAATCACCTCCTCATCCACCATTTTCTTTATTCTCGATCCTCTTTTTCTTTCATGTTTCTTTGGTGCCATTCACTTTTTTATTTTCATTTTTGTTGGGGCTCGTATATCTGCAGAGTTTCCAAAGTATCTCCAATTATCGAGCCATTTTATGATGACCAAATTTGCAAAAGGACTTCCCTATAATATCAAAAAAGAATTTTTTTTTTGACTGAATTGCATTCTTATTGTTTGCTTCCACAAACAACTGCCCTAACGCGTTCCGAGCACATGTTTAGGCTGCCTCCCTCTACCCAGCCCCTCCAAGCACCATTGGCCTTCTCATATTGAATCTTCTGCCCACAGCGAGCAGAAATGTTCACTTTCCACCGTAGCTAAAACCTGCTTTTTACTATAGTGAACTTTTTTGGGTAAGTATAATATTAAAATAAGACTTAATTCCACTTTTCACTCCTTAACATGTATGCAATTTGCACATTGTGCCCTAAATTTTTGGTTTTAGACATATTGTACCCTATACCCTTCAATCAGTTCTATTTGATCAGAATCGTTAGCACCGTAAGTAATATTAACAGAAAAAATATCACCCCACGCAAGTCTGATACTTGCAAATCTGTATAAGGACTAATTCTATAGTTTCTACTTTTGCATGCGAATCTCACTTTAGGGTACAAGGTGAGAATTTATTAAAAATTACGAGTATATTCAAATTACTTTAGGTTGAATTAATTTCAGCTTGAATTAATTTATTATAAAGTAGGAAAGTGATTCTAAATTCGTCAAAATAAACAAACAAGTTCTTAACTGAAGTGATTGGCTCTTTTAATTGGCTCCATGCGATAAAATTACCATTTTTTTTCCTCTTGGGGTCGACTAAATTGGTTGGTGCTTTATGCATGAATTGTTGCCTCAGAATTTTATTGTTGAATTAGGCATTTCGTAGAGCGTGGTGAGGAATTTATTTCCAAAAAGTTTGAGTCATATTCATTTATTACCATTTTTCTTCAATTTTAAGCCAACGATAATCGTAATTGAGTTAATAAACGTATGAATTTAAGCCAACGATCATTTTATTTCAGATATTGGCTAAATAACTAACAATAAGAGGTTATTTCAGGTTCTTTCAGAAACTCGTTTATTGCGAGTTTCCTTCCAGTTTTCGTTTTCAGATATCTCTCATTGGTGTGGCTGATTGCAGGAAAGCATCATACATTTATAGTATTTTTATCTTCATGAGTTGAATGATGGTTCAGATCTATAGGCAACAAATATCCTATTCCCATCTCTATCCTGTACACACTGTTCAAGTTTAAAAGATCTGGAAAACAATCCACTAACTAAAATACAGGGAACAACTTA